ACCAAAATTGCTTGTGGCCTGCGGGCCCAAATTTCCCACCCATGTCTTAGACACTGGATCAGATGAGAAACTGAGTCGCATGAATAGGCCTGAAAGATCCTAGGCCTGGCTTGTAGTATCTGAAGTGGTGCACTACACATCTCCTTAGTTGACTGTTTTAGATTGAGGACTGACTAGTTTCATGCCTCTGTCTTGCAGATAGCAAAGCCATTGTGGATGGAAACTTAAAGTTGATCCTTGGCCTAATATGGACCCTCATCCTCCATTATTCCATCTCCATGCCCGTATGGGAAGATGAAGGTGATGATGATGCCAAGAAACAGACCCCTAAACAGCGATTGCTGGGATGGATCCAGAACAAGATTCCTTACTTGCCCATCACAAACTTCAATCAAAACTGGCAGGATGGCAAAGCACTGGGTGCCCTTGTTGACAGTTGTGCTCCAGGTAAGGCTTCTGTTTGTCTCCTTGCCCTTCTGTTTCCTAGGGTGGTTTTTGAGATTTGTCTTTAGCACTGCAAGGTCAGTTGTATCTAAACTTTAGATGAGACTAGTTTATGAAAGGGCAGCGGAGTTCAAGCCAGTAGCTGTAGATCAGGGGTGGGCAAAATGCGGCCTGCAGGCCAGATGTGGCCTGCCAGGCCATTCTATCCGGCTCACGGGGCCCCTAAAGAATTGAGAATGAACATTTATTTGCCCCTGGCTGCCTGTTGTGCGGCCCTCAATGGCTTGCCAAAACTCAGTAAGTGGCCCTCTGCCCAAAATAACTGCCCGCCCCTGCTGTAGATGGAGGGGAGCTGTAAATGACATGGCAAAAAGTTAATAAATAAATAAATAAATTGGTTTTAAAAACTCAACTGATAGCATAAGCTGTCCGCTGAAGGTGCCATCTCTGCTGGTCTTTTAACTTTTGGTGCTAGTAGGTGGCTGTGTAGTAGGGCTTCTGAGAGGGGCTGCACAGATTGCAATCATAGGTTATATACCCAAACCTCTTCTGCACTAAACATCCAGTGACTCTGCCTGCATCATGCCGAGTAGATTATGTAATGTGATTTCAGGGGCAGAGGCTGGGGTAAAGTTCCCTATTTATGTGCAATATTTGTCTCGCTGATGTAACTACTTTGTGCTAACCTAATGAAATTTTGTGTGGACCTCACTAGTAAAAACGTATGAATTCAGTGGTGAAAGATGGGTTATTGTGATGCTGTTCTATACAGCGTGAAGAGGAGGCTCTTTCCACTCCCTCCTCCTTCCCCTCTTAGTGTAAGTTGTTAAAACATTTCAGTCTGATGCAAATGCTCAAAGCTAAACAAGCTAGTTGTGAATTCTTGGCAATGTGAATTGGAGTCTTTCCAGATGAACTACTTGGCTCCCAGGATGGCTGAGAAGTCCCTAGAGTCTTCAAAAGGCTTCACCCAGCAGCATACCCACCTCTGGGTGGTTGTCACAAATGGAAACTTAATTTCCCCTACCTTGGGAGGCTGGTGGCTGTGAGGAGCTGGAATGAGTAAGGTTCTAGAGTTCTTGAGGAAACAAGGTTTCTAATATCAATGTAGAGTGAGCATCCCTGGTAGGCCTTAATGGAAACTCCTTTCCTGACAGCCATTTGCTTTAGACGGTAAAAGCAGCCTTCTATCTATTCAGATCAGGCAGTGTTGGATAGGCTTATCTTTTTTTACTAAGGAAGCTTATTGATGTTTTTGACATAATGGTTTTAACTTTAACTTTTTTAGGTCTCTGCCCTGATTGGGAGGCCTGGGACCCTAAGAAACCAGTTGACAATGCTCGGGAAGCTATGCAGCAAGCGGATGACTGGCTGGGTGTGCCACAAGTAAGAACAATAGCTGTTTTAAAAAAGAAAAGAAAAGGAGGCATGGAAATGAGGATACCTATTGAATGGGCAGGAGCACTGGCTTTAGAATTGCTGCTCATGTTAAACAAAGTATTTGGCTTGAGAGTTTCATGGTCCAAGAGAAATGGTTATTCTGAATTTTCTAGTGTGTACAGTTTATTTGCAGTTATCAATTACCTGAATTGTTTCAGAATGCCCAGTGTAGCTTTATATGAGAGGAAAAACAAGTTCAGAAATTAGCAGGGCACCAAATAATGGAGCTTGGGGTGAAATGGATTCTTGAACCAAATTGGAACCTCAAACTAGACATTGGGTAGCTGGAAACACTGCAGCAAGGTTTTTTGCTGCACTAACTTTGAATGCAAACTACTTTTTAGTTGTGGTCAATTGCCCAGCTTGTGTCTTGGTAGGAAGAGAAGCAATCCAAATAATTCAAAGGAGTTTTTATTTGGAGGCAGCACCTGGAAACTGAAGTCTTAATAGTAGATGGGACTTGCACATTAATTGTAAGAGCGCATGAAAAGAAATATCCAAAAGAAACTTGGGGCAAGACGGGACAAACCTAGACACCCCCTCTTC